CAACAGTATCTGTACAAAAAGAATTCCTCAGAACCTTGGACGATTTTATCTCTGACATGTGATGTGTTGTGTTTTGACCTTAAGAGAAGAGGGATGATTTAACATCCAACACCATTGCAGCGCCCGGGGGTTGAGGGGGGTGGGGGGGGGGTGTGTGTGACTATTGTGTAATAAACGGGATATATGAGAAATGTATCACTCAACAAAGGTGGAGATAATCATAATACCTACCAAAATAGAGTTATAACACCTAACAACGACCGAGATATTACACTTAACAATAGGTTATGCAACATATCCACTGTGTTGACCTTGAGAGTAGAAGGATGATTTAACATCCAACAACATTTCAACGACAGGGGGTCGAGTGAGGTGTGTGTTTGTGTTTGTGTTTGTGGTGGTGGGGGCGCTATTGTGTAATAAATGTGATATATATCACTTGACAAAGGTGTTATCAAGCCAAGAGGTATTACACTTAAGAAAGGTGGAGATATACCACTTACCAAAATGGACTTATTACACTAACAACAACGGAGATATAACTCTTGACAAAAGTTAGACAACATTTAACGACGGGCAGGGGGGAGGGGGCATAGAAAAGTGTACAAAGGTAGGATACTATTCCGAGCGTTATTACATATACTAGTACACAAACTTCCATAGGAAAACCTATCTGAACTTTAAGAAGTGAGTGAGTGAGTGAGTGAGTAAGGTTTTACGCCGCTTTTAGCAATATTCCAGCAATATCACGGCGGGGGACACCAGAAATGGGCTTCACACATTGTACCCATGTCGGGAATCGAACCCGGGTCTTCGGCGTGACGAGCCAACGCTTTAACCACTAGGCTACCCGACCGCCCCGAACTTTAAGAAGATGAACATACCTTCACATATTTCACGTTTATGTGTCACAGATTGAACAAAGTGCTATTCCTTATCGCTTTGCGTCTATTTCCATGGAAATTTATGTTTGTCAGACACAGTAGACGTGTTTAGTTTGACCGTATTGAGCGTCTTCCATGGCGGCCACGTGTGTCGCCATCGGTGTGACGCGTGGGCGATCGGATGTGACGTCCTTGTCTTGAGGTTGGTTTCAAATATTTTTATCTTACAGTTTTACAGGTTTTGTTGGACGAGGAAGTAGCGGTGAATATAGACAATAGAACCATACAGTCTCACATGCAACATTTATTGACAGACTTGTGTATCGCAGTATATTTGTTTTATTTTCACAACACAATCGTCATCAATGGGAACAAAATATCTGTTCCATCTATGTAATAGTCGGTATGGTTACAGCAACAGCTCAGCCTTTTATCAAAATATACACCTGACGTGACGAAGGGGGTGTTGGGGCGGTAACAGGCTCTTCTGTGGATTAACTGCTCAGTAATCAGAGCACAGAAAGCTTTCAGTGGTCGACGTGGACTTTCAAATGTGTTTCACGTTAAGTGGCGGAATGTTCGCTATGTATACATAATCAATTGACAGATCACACCAACCAACGTACAAGACAAAAAGCTCAGTAACTCAGTGGAGTCATTACTTGACAGACTAATGGCATGAATTATTCCTGCTATTTACAGAGTCTTACGTCGGTCGGGCAGTAATAAGGCGACATCGGGCGACATCTTTGTCAAATGAAACTCATAATGTTGCGTGCTCTCTCGTGACAATATAAAGAGATAAAATCGAACATCTTGTCACCGCGAATGAATATTCATTCAAGGTAAACGTGCGTTAATCAGCGTTCTTTAAATCAATGGCGCGGTTGCGACAACCGGTTGTGAAAGGTCTAGGTTTCAACATCTGACTCAGCAGATAACAGACACTTTCTTGCGACTGAAATGACTGACACGTGAATAAAATATGGAGATAACATCGACCGGCCTCTCACTCCGAGAGTGAAATTGTGCGACCAGGCCGTTTTTCAAATATGAGACTAACTGTTGTCGATTAATCTATTGTGTCACTAGACTCAGTGACCTATGTGATGTTATATACAAAACGTTCGCCATAATGGAGATAGATGGACCCACATCAGTTACCAGGGACAGAGAAATGATATCACGTATTCCCAGACCCCTGGTTTTCCTAAAAGACCACACTGGCATAAAGGAGATGAGTTGGCGTTTCAGCAACCTCCACTGAGTTTGATGAACAATCTTCTTATCAGGAGCGTCACGTACGACATTGACGCATTAATGGCAACGTCAAAAGACGTCTTGCCGATGAATCAAATCATGTTTGCCTGTCCACGACAGAGCAGACGACAAGATAAGGCAGACGACAGTACTGGTACACGAAATATGTCCTGTGTTTCATGCCGGTCATAATAATAGCTACAGCGTTACCTATGTTGTTTTCAAATAATAAGGGGCAGTAGGTTAGCCCAGTGGTAAAACATTGGTTCGTCTTGCCGAAGACCCGGGTTCGATTCTTTACATGGTACAGTGTGTACATGCTTGATGTCCGCAGCCATGACTACCACTCACTTGAATATGAAATATCTACGAATTAAACACGTCTTGAGAGGCGCATACTAAAGACGAGTTTTAATGTGTCATAAAATCAATTCATCGGTGCTCGGGGGGAAATATATGTTTCCGATATATCCAGTAATCTGTCGAACTGATAAATATTGATTCGAAAGTCACCGACACCTCCTGTCCACGTGTGACTTCGCCGTTCTATAGTTCAGAAAATACACGTGACTAACTCAACAACGACTGAGACAGTGAGTATGGTTTTACCCCGCGATATTCCAGAAATATCACGGTGGGGGACACGAATAATGGGCTGAACACATAGTACCCATGTGGGGAATCGAACCCGGGCATTTGGCGTGACGAGCGAACGCTTTAACCACAAGGCTAACACTCATCGGGAATCGGGCGTTATTTAGGTGTTACACGCAGCTGTCTCAACAACGACTGCTTGTACACATATGGGTGCCGTTGCGATCTTAGCTTTACGGTGGGTGTAACTCCCATACCATAACAGGTACTTACGACAGTAGTAGCGCTGAGGTTGTTTGGTACAACGACACCCCGTGTCAACTCGGGAATCTCGCATCAGCGTACCTCGACGAATTGTTTCTTTATTTTGACCTGCCTCTGGAACATTGCTGGCTAGGTCACAAAGCAATATTCACTGTCTGACTCACTACTTCCAACCGGAGACCCGTGAAGATTCCGGGGTAGAATAGGTTTCAGCAACCCATGTTTGCCGTAAAAGGTGACTATGCTTGTAAAAGGCGACTAACGGGATCGGGTGGTCAGGCTCACTGACTTGGTTGATGCATGTCATCGATCCCAATTGCGTGGATGATGCTCATGATATTAATCACTGGATTGCCTGGTCCAGACTCGATTATTTACAGACCGCCGTCATATAGCTGGAATATTGCTGAGTGCGGCGTTAAACAACAAAGCAACCAACCAACTTCCAACCGGAAGAACAGAAGCTTCAAAAACATTTTGCTTTTGTTTTCAAATATATTTTTTTAGAAATTCCAAAATGGTTTGTATCAGCCGGATGGGACAAGTACAGCATGTATTACCATACTTATACAACTCGTATCGCATTATTTATCCTTTGGAGGATTTTCTTTAGATGTTCAGATTCCAGAGAAGAAAATAAATGGCATATTTATTCACACAAAGCCGAAATATTATCTTTCTTGTTTCAAAAAACATTCAAAATTTAGAAATATAAGGCATATTTATTAACTGAAACTAAGATTATTATTTTTCATGTTCAAAACTGCATTCTGAATAATAAAGAAGTTGTATCTCCATAGAAATGTCTCCCTTGTTCAGCATGCCAACTTATACAGGCCACTTAAAGAAGTGCATTCTAGTGTTTTAAAAATGCACTCGCAAGAAACACGATTTATTTAGAATGTCAAAGAGACGCCTTTTGTAAATTTTAATTTATTATCTTTCCTTGAAATGCTTACATAGTTCTGCAAAGTAGGATGCACGTCTGGGCATCGTGACACTAGCTAGGTCATTCAAACGATACAAGGTGATGTTGGTTCAAGGCAAGTTAAATACAATACACAAAACAAGGCAAGTAAAATACTAAAAGTTTATAGGGCCGAGTTAAAAAGGGTGTTAACAGGCAGAGTTACTGCAGTACATGAAGTAACATATACATGAAAGTTTTGATATACATAGCTTAAAAAGGATGGCAATGTTGGGTATATTAAGGCGAAGAATATGAGGGATAATTTATTATGTTTAATAGTTAATAATACATCAAGTATTTATAAGGATGGGATTTAAAAAAAATATGTAATTATGCAATGCGAATGTTAATTTTTCGGAAAATAAATAGATATTACTAGCCAAAGAGAAATTATTATGCTTATATGAATTTACACACAAAAAATGTGTTACTTAAACCCACTATAGAAGCAAGCGGCCAAAATATGTGGGAGCTAAAAACAGAGTAGGAGGAAATTTTGAACCCACGTGTTGGACTAGACTAGTTGAATTCCACACAACGTAAAATAGAGACGAACGAATTTGAAATGCTAGAAGGGATGCTGGATTGAGTGCATGACATGTTCTCGCGCGTGCGCGAGTTGTAAGTTATAATTAGATTATGGTAATAAACTATGTCAGAGAACGTGGCAAAATGCTAGAAAAATCAAGTAAAATATTTACAAGAAAAAGTGCAGGAGACAAATGCGTAACTACATACTACTCCTGGACATTGGAGTAGTGTATTTCAATTAATCAGTTTCAAAGGGAAAATGGGAGAATTTCTGAAACAATATGCGACCTGCTTCTGATGTATGAGGTAAATAAAATCATGCAGGTTCGTTGATAGAATGGTTTCACTTTTGAACAAATCTACCTGTCGTTCTTTATTCCTGGTGTAGATACAGAAAAAGCGCAGACACGAATCCAATGAAGAGGAATAAAATATTTACACCAGGCGAATGCTTAAAGGGAGGGCACTCTAATTTACTCACTATTTGTAAACAAACATGGCGACGGACACCTGCTAAACCCTAACGACAACATTTCAAGCTAGTTTTGCATGCACACGTATCGTTATCTCTCTGTTTTAGCATAGAAGCATCATGTCCGGAGAAACGAAAAAGATGGATGGCCATTCTCCAGGTAGGTCTGCGATAACTGCCGAGATAAACACACATAGCTGAGAGGAACGAGGTGATCGTGTAACCTCGGTTGTTTACCGGTTGTCAAGTGTCTGATTTAGTACCTCAGGACGGTTAGTCTTTGAACAGCATTATATTATCAAGTGGAATAGAGTGAAGAATTCCATTCTTTAGTTTTAGAGGATGTACATTTTATGCATAGACTAAAAATCGCATCAGAACCTGAGATTGTTATGGAATTGGATTCGAACCATGGATCTTCTGATCTAATGTCAGATGCCTTGTCCACATGACCAAGCTGACAATTGAGATATGATATCATCTTTGAAATGACTCCACGTCCTGCTACATACTCCCCCATTAACAGAAGACATATCCTTGGAAGCAGAGTAGGGTACTGATAAATATTTTGCTCAAATAAAATATGAACATGCTCAGCCCCCATGTTGGGCCCCAGTGTCGTGGCCATAAAATATCTGAGTCCTCTGATGGAATTCGAGCCATGGACATTCTGATCTAAGGTTGTATGCCACATAACCAAAGAGGTAAATCCTATCATACAGCTGAAAGATATAATATGTTTAGTTAATTCCAAATAATTGAAGAACATCATTTAATGTTCTTCCTATTGACACAACATAACCACGAACTCAAGAACCATTGAAACGCCATAAAATAATGTATGACGTCACACAGTGGGTGCCAGAGGAATGACATAATACACTGTGCACCTCGCTGTCAGGTTGCTCATTGCATGCATTTTTCATATACACAGCAGAACAAGCCGATTAAACTTGGAAGGGTTTACACATTACAGCGCCACCTGGGGTTCTTTATTGTCAACATTTTGACAGAATGGCCGCCCCTAAAAACAGTTTGTGACAGGATTATGAAGTTTCCGCTTGCAGAGATGGTGTAAGGCCAGACACTATGCACTAAGTTAAAAAGCATGGAGCTAGGCCATAACTCTGAAAAAATGAATGTACGACACCAATTTTCGAACTCATTGGAGATTGTGACCAGAAACATCAGTGTGTAAAAATTCATTTCTCTTACTTGAAAAGCTTTTGAGAAAACTTGACCACATTGAGAAGTGGACGGGCGAACTCCGTTTCTATATCCCCACCCCCACTTCGTGGTGGGAGATAAAAAATGACCTACTGTTGACATGAAGCAGCCCAAGTCCTATCTTTACTAAGGCTTTTTTTTATAGTTTATATTCACTACTATATAAACAAACAAAATTCTAATGTGCCCCATGATGGGGGATACTGATAACACTGTTTTTTTGTTACATTTTACTCATTTCAGGTAAGTGGAATGAAAACTACACTGCTTTTTCCTTCCTTTATTTTCGAACATTTCAATGTTTTGGTGGATTTGTAAACCAAGTTTTATAAAAAGCCTGGCCTGACAAACCTTGGATTATTTCAGTGAACAAGTATGACTTGCTGAGTCTGGAGCATTCTTCACTGACAGAGGAGCGCATGATCCTTGCCTTCCAGGCGCTTGATGAACTCGTCCCTCAACTCGGCATCTTCACAAGGATCTTCCGCAAACTACGAGATGATTTCTTCGGTAAACGCAAACACTTACGACTGTTGGATGAATAATGTTGGACTGAATGGTTGTCAGCAACTCTGCGAAAACTCTTTTTTTTTCCTCCTAAACAAATTTGAACAAATTTGGAATGAATAATGATATTGTGAAATGTCTTTTTAGGTTTGTGCAACTCTGCCACAGGAGTCTGAAGTTCCAACTTAAATAATATTACATTCTGGGATTTTCTACTATCAAACACATGGAAATCTTCCATAGGGAAGGGTGTTTGACAGTGAAAAATAATAATGTCTTTATTTAAAACAGGTTTCATTTCACTCTTCACACCATATTTTGGAAAGATGCAGGTATTTTGAATTAAGGAGTGAATGAGTTAGCATCGGTTCTCGCCACAATGTTCTAGCAATATCATGGCATGGGACATCGGAAATAAGCTTCACATGTTGTACCCATTTCGGGAAATGAACCCAGGTCTTCATCATGACGAGCGAACACTTAAACCACCAGGCTACCCCAGTTAAGGGAGTGAGGTTGTGTGATGTGTGTTACAGAGGCGGTGTACAGCGAGGAGCTGACGGGGAGTTCGGAGAAGGAGGAGGAGGAGGAGGCGCGGTACATCCAGCGTATCCCGTACTTCCTCCTGGTACAGAGAGTCTACAAGGAAAGACATGCACAGGGCGACGAGCTCAAGGAACAACTAGATGTTGTCAAGGAAAGGTACAAACTCAATATCTGTATTGTTAATCTGTGTTTGAATATCATTTTCTTAACAGCTTTTTTAAAGAAATTAACCACAGAGTCAACCCTGACAACATATTTTGTGAATTTGTTTCGTCCAAGTGCTTCAATTTCATTATTGTAAGGCTCATTAGGACAATTGTTGTTATATGTTGGAAATGGTTGAAAGTTTACTGGGACTGGCTTATCTTGGGTTTGAATCACATCTCATCCTCATCCTCATCCTGCGTCTTGCATCATTTCTTCCATGCTCGTGGTTTTAAATGTCTACGACTGACATCATTTGAGGGTTTACGCCCACCTTCCTCTGTACACACCAAGATATAACATGTAACTGAAATACCGTATTCGACGTAATAAGCGCCCAGCTCTAATAAGCGCCCACTGCGATATTTGCTAATATATTGGCTTGTGAAGAATCCCATTTAGCACCCCTTTCGATTGATCAATGTACACAAGACTTATTTATTCGCGCATAATACGCACTCGTGTGTTATATACACCCTTAATTATGGGCAATTAAATTCTGGAAAAATATATCTGTCGCATATAAACATTTCAGTCTGTCAGCATAAACAACAAAATTTATCTTTCAACTGTTTTTTCTACCAAAATAATATTCTAACAAGAGCCCCCTATTTCTAATTTTGAGAGCGCCCTGGGCGCTTATTACGTTGAATACGGTAATCTCAAAGCGGTGTTAAAGCTCACTTAGTTAATGTTGACTTGAGTCGACTGAAGACCTGGGCTCCATTGCACAAAGTGATCTTAGTGCTATGACTGTCGTAAGCCTATGGTGAAGTATGGGAGTTATGATCACCTTAACACTAAGATAGCTTTGTGCAACGGGGCCCTGGATCCAGAGTTGTAAAGTGATGTTAGCGCTATGACTGTCGTAAGCCTATGGTAAAGTCTGGGAGTTATGATCACCTTAACACTAAGATAGCTTTGTGCAACGGGGCCCTGGATCCAGAGTTGTAAAGTGATGTTAGCGCTATGACTGTCGTAAGCCTATGGTAAAGTATGGAAGTTATGATCACCTTAACGCTAAGACAGCTTTGTGCAACGGGGCCCTTGATCCAGAGTTGTAAAGTGATCTTAGCACTACGACTGCTGTAACTCCCATACTGTAACACAGGCAACTGCCTTAAGCCTAAGTCGAAGTGAGTGTAGCACTACGATCACTGGGCCAATGGGAAACCAGCACCAAGGTACTACCGTATATCGCTGTGTATAAGGCGACCCCAAGTGTAAGACGACCCCCCTGTACACGCCTTCAAAATCGACCCAAAATCCTATACTCCGTGTATAAAGCGACCTGGAAAGAAGCACATTACAAGTGAGCACACAAACCTTATATTTGCAAAAAAATATGTTTATCACGGATGTTGATTGTTTTACCGTGTCAGCTGGATCGAGGCGAGGGTCATTTCAACTTTATTTGCAGAAATTATCAAACCTTATTCAAGGAAAACAGATACAAATCATGTTTATGTATGGAAATAGTTATTGGAACAGTTATTTAGGACGAAATTCGAAGTTTTATTGTCAAATGCTGGGCTGGCTATCGAACGCCGGTTGACATCGCCAGTGAAAGCTGAAAGTAAAACGCCTGGAAAAAAACGTGAGATCTTCGACTCCGTGTATAAGACGACCCCCCTTCTTAACCCCCTCATTCTAGGTACGAAAAACTCGCCTTATACACAGCGATATACGGTACTACATCTTGTTGTGTGCTTCAGGTTGTTCGGCAAACACCAGCAGCTGGAGGAGAGTCTGTCCATGGTGTCAGAGCTACAGACCCTGGTGGATGACCTCACGGCCAAGATCTCAGACCTCGAGAACAATGTTGCTGAGAAAAAGATTGAAATAGCCAGGTGAGGCATTTTTATGATAAAGAAAAGTCTAGAAAAATATTTTGCTTTCCGTGTGTTATTATCAGTCCAACTTGATAAAATTAGATCATTTACTCACATAGACTCATCTCTCCTGGAAGACCGCCTCCGTGGTCTAGTGGTAGCGCGTCTGCCCGGAGAGCGGAAGGTCCGGGGTTTGATCCCCGGCCGCGTCATACCAAAATACGTTAAAAGATGGTACTTGTTGTAACCCTGTCTGGCGCTCGGCATTAAGGGGCTAAAACAAGGACTGGTCGGCTCGGAGTCAGTATACTGTGTCTGAGTGGGGTATTCATGTTAAACTGTGGCATGGTATCTCAGTGAGCTAGCACTATAAATCGGCATCAGTCCGGACTAGTACAAGCAGCCACACAAACACACACATGTACATGCACGTTGCTATATAAGTGTAATAATCTTGGACGCGACGTTAAACCCCATTTCACCTCACCTCACCTCTCTCCTGGAAGATCTGGGGACACCTCAGTTGCAAAGCATCACTATATATGGTTCAATCCCAATGTCCATGACAACATGGTACCCATCACTGTACAAACATCCTGAGAAACATTATCTGACTGTTGGTTGGAAAATTATCTGAATAGAAGTGAAAAGCACAAATCGTTTTGTCCACAAGTATTTGTATGCACTGTGTGGTGATTGGATGGAGGAAGATAGGTGTAGGAGAGCATTGGGTTCCCCATCTGATGTCAGGTGATGTATTGTGTGTCCTCAGCTTGGAGCAGAAACTGGACACCACCAGACTAGCAGCAGACGTCATGCAGGACAGACTGGAGGCCGACATACACCACCTGGAGGTCAGTCATCACATCTCTGATTAACCAGTGCAGTACATCTCAGTTGTAGTAGTAAATATGCCGACCCTTTTTATCACCATGGCATGGTGTAGTATTAGAGAATCTTCTCAGAGAGCAGAAGGTAGTTCGATACCCTTACCGCGTCATACCAACAGAGGTTAAACGATGGTATATATTGCAAAAGAAGGATTGCATGCACCTCGCTGTATCAGTGCAATTATCTTGTAATCAAATTTAATCACATTTCACCCAACTCATCACCTTGGCTCTGTTTTGGAAGTGACGTCACAGTAACCACCCTTCTCTTGCTCATGAGCATGTAATCAATGACCAATCAATTTGACTCTTTTGAACAGAGATCTATTTTCAAACTTGTGGCCTGACGGTATGATCTGCTAACCAGAAAAATGTCATCTTCCCAGGTGTTCCCCGAAACAAGACAAGTCAAGTACTAGTGATATCGCTGTTTGTTCCAATCTTGAAATAACAGTTTAATTTGATTGGACAGCTATATTTAGCACTGTCACATTATCTGGACTCAAACCAAAGCTATATGGTTGCGAATAGCTGTTTTTGATAATAGAATGGAGATCTTATACTCGAGGATGTAATCAGCAATAGAAGTGAAAAGCACAAATCTTATCATGGCAGACTGTAGGCGTATTGGGAAACATACTGTAAATCTTAAAATTAACGCGAGCGTGAATTAAATGTGAAAACTACGAGTGGTCTTTGTTCGCATTAATGAAACTTCGCATTTATGTCTCCAAAATGACTATCAACAATAAGCCAGCCTCACTACACATTTTGGATAGCGGAAATACCAACTTGAATATGTACACAAACACAGTTTATTGAGCAGCTGTTGTAACAAGTATATAACAATGTCAATCATAGAATGGGAATTACACAATAGGCATCCAGTGAGTTATCACTGCTGGGGTCAAGAGTTCTACCCACTCGTGTCAAACTAGGCATTGTTGACCACACCAATCAGTTAACTGTTGTTGGTTCAATTATTTTATTGCCTTTGAACTTCCTTAATGCCATAAACATACAAACTGTGTGTTGTTTTTAGGAAAACACTGTTTATTGTTTTTACGGAAGTGCTTTACTCAGCGCTAATAAGCGTTGCTATTTGCCGTTTGATTGGATTGAAGTAAGGATATGCATCATTCCACGGGGACTGGGTTGGATGGGGGGAGTGGCATTGATTTTGAGTCGCATATTTGGCTATGGGTCAGCAGTCGTATTAATTTGGAGATGCCTTAATTTCGGCAAGATTTACAGTATATAGGTAAAATAGATTCTCAGATCTGGGGGCATCTATGGTAGTTATTATTACTTTGTCTTGTCAAAGGAATGAGTGAGTGAGTTTGGATAATGCCGCTTCCAACAGTATTCCAGTTATATCATGGCGTGTCAGCCTAATGTGGGAGGAAAGCCAGATTTCAGAAGTGAAACCCGTGCGTGACCAATGGTATTGTGCTGACAACCTTGGAAATATAATCAGGGTGAACCAGGATTTGAACCCACAATCATGGGTTCTGTCAAGCCAAAGAAACAGAACTCTGAACAGCGAACACAGTGAAAAATGTTATGAATAAGGAAAAGTTAGATAAACGTGGTGAATATCACCACCCTTAAGAATGCCCTAAGGATATTGTGCAAGGCGAAGGTAGTGGCAGGGAAACACAGCTAGCATCCTGTGATGACACCGATGTGACTTCGTAACACTCCTCTGTTTCCGTCTGTCCCACAGATGTGCTACTGCTCCAGTCACTGTCTCCGAGCCAAGAATTTGACTAGTCCAAATAAGACCTTTTTCTTTATTCAAACATATGAAAGACAGAAGGAATGTGTGCGTAGTCAGAAAGAAATGCGAACATAAGTGATTAAAAAAAATTGTAGTGTAACCATGGAGTTCTAGGTAATTTTGCGTCTTTCAACAATATAGTCCTGTGGGTGCTCGGGTCCTACTCAGTACCTACCTGACCTGAGTACTTCAGTTACCTGTCCCAGCCCTAGTAGCTAGACATACTTGGTACAAACATTCAATGTTTCAGGACGTGCTGAATGAGGCAAAGAAAGAGACGGATTTTCTATCTAAGTTCAAGAAAGGTTACGATGATCTATATGATGGTAAGTTAATTTCACTGTTGGACTCAGTCCCGCTATATAACATAGTTCTACAGCAGTCATCGTTCAGTGTGAAACATGGCCTGAGGCCTTACCCACCCAAGCAGTCATAGTTCATTGTGAAACAGGGCCTCAGGCCTTATCCAACCAAGCAGTTATGATTTAGTGTGAAACTGGGCCTTAGGCCTTACCAAATCAAGCAGTCATAGTTTAGTGTGAAACGGGACCTTTGGCCTTATCCAACCAAGCAGTCATAGTTCAGTGTGAAACAGGGCCTTAGGTCTTATCCAACCAAGCAGTCAAAAGTTCAGTGTGAAACAGGGCCTTAGGCCTTACCCGACCAAGCAGTCATAGTTCAGTGTGAAACAAGACCTTGCGTCTTATCAGTGTGAAACAGGGCCTTAGGCCTTACCCAACACAGCAGTCAAAAGTTCAGCGTGAAACAGGGCCGTAAGCCTTATCCAACCAAGCAGTCATAGTTCAGTGTGAAATGGGACCTTTGGCCTTATCAGTGTGAAACAGGGCCTTAGGTCTTAGCCAACCAAGCAGTCATAGTTCAGTATGAAACAGGGCCTTAGGCCTTATCCAACCAAGCAGTCATAGTTCAGTATGAAACAGGGCCTTAGGCCTTATCCAACCAAGCAGTCATAGTTCAGTATGAAACAGGGCCTTAGGTCTTAGCCAACCAAGCAGTCATAGTTCAGTATGAAACAGGGCCTTAGGCCTTATCCAACCAAGCAGTCATAGTTCAGTATGAAACAGGGCCTTAGGTCTTAGCCAACCAAGCAGTCATAGTTCAGTGTGAAACAGGGCCTTAGGCCTTATCCAACCAAGCAGTCATAGTTCAGTATGAAACAGGGCCTTAGGCCTTATCCAACCAAGCAGTCATAGTTCAGTGTGAAACAGGGCCTTAGGTCTTATCCAACCAAGCTGTCATAGTTCAATGTGAAACAGGGCCTTAGGCCTTATCCAATCAAGCAGTCAAAATTTCAGTGTGAAACAGGGCCTTAGGCCTTACTCAACCAAGCAGTCATCGCACTACAGACACAGGCACTCCTAAACAGTCATGGACTCAACATACTCAAGATGATCACAGGAGTATATCAATATATATTTTGTTAACAGGAACCTGGTTGTCTCGTCTTATCCTTTCTCACTGTTATTATGAATAGGATTGTAGCGGGGTCAAGTAATGTTAAGTTAAATCCCAAGTTAGAGGTCATTATTCTGATATCTGGATTTTTTTCTCTCCTATTCCACAATTAAATACTTTTCATATATTTCCCAGCATTCCTTGAGAAGACAGATGAGGAAGAAGAAGACACCAAGCCGAAGAAGCGGGCCGTCATCTCCACCAAGAGAGTATGTTTCACAGGTCACAGGTCATCCTTACTCACTACATGCACTGGAGGCATGGATGGTGCTGCAGTTTGCTGTGGGTTTATGATAGTGGGTTTGAATCCCAGACAGGGATGTATCTAAATCTGCCAAAAGGCTGATATCTAGCCACAAGTTTGCAGTCAATGTCAGTAGATATTCCCAAATTGGATTCTAAACTTTCACAAATCATGTTTTGTTAAAGGTGAGCTCTGGTCCTTCTGATAACAGGACCAGTGGAGGGTTAGGGATGTTTTTATTCTCAGTATTACACTATTGCATTGAGTGCAATTTTAAAGTACCTCCTCATTTAAGAAAATAAGAACTTAAACAAAATTCCTAATTTGAAAGAAATAATGATATTTTTCCAGTTTGACACCCAAGAGCACTGAGTTGGGAATCCTAGATAAATCCATTACTGACATTATGTTTCTGGGTCAGTCACCACTATATTCACTCACTCACTCATCACTCACTCACTCATCACTCACTCACTCACTCACTCACTCACTCACACGGCAATGTATTTTTATTCACTACTATTTTTTACACTATTTGAGGAATATTTTACAATTTCAGACAGCTATACATTGATAGCAATTCTTCCAATATCATATCTCTCTGCATGAATGTCTGACAACTATAGAAGGTCATGTCAGGGGAACAGCAAACTTTGACCACCCAATCTCAATGAAGTAGAAATTGGCCAATTTTAAGGGTTTTGCTATATGTTATCATTATAAGGACTAGTGGACAAAGACTGTTAGTTTCTAACCCTGTTGGCGCTCAGAAACAACAGGATGTATTAATATCCACAATATAATGGTGAGGCCTTTATTGTTTACATCTGGAACTGGATGTATGAGTGAGTTTTCAGGATGTAGAAATCAGATATCCTGGTGTGATTACTTTTCTCACTCTTCACGCAAAGAGGTATCATATCGATGTAAACCTGATTCAATGAGATTGTTTTTCTGAACATATTTTAGTCATAGGACAACCAATTTTTAAGTACAAATGTACATATTGTTATATCCCACAGCTGTTGACATGTTGTATATGTGGCTATTTTTCTCCAGCATATGCTTATAGTGACAAACCAAAGTGATTATTTGTTCTACAGTGTTTTCGCCAAAGTAAGAACACAAGGGACGAACATTTTTATGTGTTATTTTTAGCACAAAAGAAATGTAACTGAACCTAAAAAAAAGGAATTTCTTCCCGATCAGCAAGTTTACTCCCAAGCTGTATATTTTTTTGTATTTGGGAATGAGACAAGGAGTCAGCATGTTGTAGCTATGATACTACAAGTGTACCAACATCCATGATGATTGTTGTACCACAGGCAAACCTCATCAGCCAGATCGAGTGCTGCAGCAAGCTGGAACAGCAGCTCCTTACTGTTCTCAACACATCCATGGAGGGTGAGGCTCTCACTGATGACAAATTGTTTGTTTGTCTGTTTGTTTGTTTGTTTGTTTGTTTGTTTGTTTGTTTGTTTGTTTGTTTGTTTAACTCCGCACTCAACAATATTCCAGCCATGTGACGGTGGTCTGTAAATAATCGAGTCTGGACCGGACAAACCTGTGATTGATATCATGAGCATCGATCTATGGAATTGGCATACGATAACATGTATCAGCCGAGTTAGCGAGTCTGACTACCCGATCCCATTGGTCGTCTCTCATGACAAGCATAGTCGCCTTTTGCGGCAAGTATGGGTTATTGAAGATAAATTCTAAGACGGATCTTCACGGGTCTGGTCAGAAATTGATGTTAAGCATGTTATATCCCAGTAGGGTGTTATGCAGGTGGTCAGTATGTGATGTTATATCCTAGTAGGGTGTTATAGTGGTGGTCAGTATGTGATGTTATATCCCAATAGGGTGTTATACAGGTGGTCAGTATGTGATGTTATATCCCAGTAGGTGTTATGCAGGTGGTCAGTATGTGATGTTATATCCCCATAGAGTGTTATACAGGAAGTCAGTATATGATGTTATATCCCAATAGGGTGTTATACAGGTGGTCAGTATGTGATGTTATATCCCAGTAGGGTGTTATGCAGGTGGTCAGTATGTGATGTTATATCCCCATAGGGTGTTATACAGGAAGTCAGTATGTGATGTTATATCCCAGTAGGGTGCTATACAGGTGGTCAGTATGTGATGTTATATCCCAGTAGGGTGTTATACAGGTGGTCAGTATGTGATGTTATATCCCAGTAGGGTGTTATACAGGTGGTCAGTATGTGATGTTATATCCCAGTAGGGTGTTATACAGGTGGTCAGTATGTGATGTTATATCCCCATAGGGTGTTATACAGGAAGTCAGTATGTGATGTTATATCCCAGTAGGGTGTTATACAGGTGGTCAGTATGTGATGTTATATCCCAGTAGGGTGTTATACAGGTGGTCAGTATGTGATGTTATATCCCAGTAGGGTGTTATACAGGTGGTCAGTATGTGATGTGATATCCCAGTAGGGTGTTATACAGGTGGTCAGTATGTGATGTTATATCCCAGTAGGATGCTATATAGGTGGTCAGTATTTGATGTTATATCCCAGTAGGGTGTTATACAGGTGGTCAGTATGTGATGTGATATCCCAGTAGGGTGTTATACAGGTGGTCAGTATGTGATGTTATATCCCAGTAGGGTGTTATACAGGTGGTCAGTATGTGATGTTATATCCCAGTATGGTGTTATACAGGTGGTCAGTATGTGATGTGATATCCCAGTAGGGTGTTATACAGGTGGTCAGTATGTGATGTGATATCCCAGTAGGGTGTTATACAGGTGGTCAGTATGTGATGTGATATCCCAGTAGGGTGTTATACAGGTGGTCAGTATGTGATGTTATATCCCAGTAGGGTGTTATACAGGTGGTCAGTATGTGATGTGATATCCCAGTAGGGTGTTATACAGGTGGTCAGTATGTGATTTTATATCCCAGGAGGGTGCTGTACAAGTGGTCAGTATGTGATGTGATATCCCAGTAGGGTGTTATACAGGTGGTCAGTATGTGATTTTATATCCCAGGAGGGTGCTGTACAAGTGGTCAGTTGTTGTTGTGTTGCCCGCAGAGTTTGACCACTTCCTGGAGGAGCACAAGGAGGAGCTGGAGAGCAAGGTGACCACAGAGGACATGACGGAGGCTGAGTTCGAGATACAGGAGATGGAGATAGAGGATGCCGACCAGCAGGTATTAAGTGAAAATTTAGAAACTGAGATTACTGAAATGGATCAGACAGGGTGAGATGCATCTGTTGAGTGAGATGATTCAGATAGGGTGAGATTTTATCATTTTGGTGAAATAGATTACATGGAATGATGTGAATGGTGGGATAGTTCAGTTGGGTGAGAAGGGTGAGATGGATAAGATAGGACAAGATGGATCGTGATGGAGCAGTTGGGTGATATTGATTAAATTGGATGAGATGAATCATATAGAGTAAGATGGCACAGTTAGGGAGGGATCGATCAGACAAGTTGAGATGGATCCGTTGGGTGATAGTAAATACAGTAATATTATTTGACTGAGATGGATCCGTTGGGTGAGATAGTAAATAGGGTAATATTATTGGACTGATGGATCCGTTGGGTGAGATAGTAAATAGGGTAATATTATTGGACTGATGGATCCGTTGGGTGAGATAGTAAATAGGGTAATATTATTGGACTGAGATGGATCCGTTGGGTGAGATAGTAAAAAGGGTAATATTATTGGACTGAGATGGATCCGTTGGGTGAGATAGTAAATAGGGTAATATTATTGGACTGATGGATCCGTTGGGTGAGATAGTAAATAGGGTAATATTATTGGACTGATGGATCCGTTGGGTGAGATAGTAAATAGGGTAATATTATTGGACTGAGATGGATCCGTTGGGTGAGATAGTAAAAAGGGTAATATTATTGGACTGAGATGGATCCGTTGGGTGAGATAGTAAAAAGGGTAATATTATTGGACTGAGATGGATCCGTTGGGTGAGATAGTAAAAAGGGTAATATTATTGGACTGAGATGGATCCGTTGGGTGAGATAGTAAATAGGGTAATATTATTGGACTGAGATGGATCTGTTGGGTGAGATAGTAAAAAGGGTAATATTATTGGACTGAGATGGATCCGTTGGGTGAGATAGTAAAAAGGGTAATATTATTGGACTGAGATGGATCCGTTGGGTGAGATAGTAAAAAGGGTAATATTATTGGACTGAGATGGATCCGTTGGGTGAGATAGTAAATAGGGTAATATTATTGGACTGAGATGGATCTGTTGGGTGAGATAGTAAATAGGGTGATATATTTAGGGACTTAGATGGATCCGTTGGGTGAGATAGTAAAAAGGGTAATAGTATTGGACTGAGATGGATCCGTTGGGTGAGATAGTAAATATGGTAATATTATTTGGCTGAGATGGATCGGGTTGGGTGATGTAGATGAGAAAATGCCCTGACTAAATCAAAACACCTTGTATGGATAAATGAATACTGAAGGAAGACAAAAAAACAGCAGAATGTTGGAACCGTGTTCTTGTTATCCTCTCTAGCTGCAAACAGTTCAGGAACGTTTCCAGGTGACCATAGGCGAGATGATGACAGAGCTTGGGTTGCTACGGCAACACAACACAATGTTGATGGAGCAGTTGCAAACACTGGAGGAGAACATGCCGCCATCACCGTAAGTACCGAGCAACGGCTTCACCCAACAAACAGTTATAGTGGCAACATGGGTACAATGTGTGAAGCCAATTTCTGGTGTCCCCTGCCGTGATATTGCTGGAATATTGCTAAAAGCGACTTAAAAACCATACTCACTCACTATAGTGGCAACGGTGATCAGTGACCTGCTGACCATGGGTCCACTGCCCCAGCTTCATCTCATCTGAAACAGATGTTACATATGGGATAACACTTTCTTAGTATATAACAGATTCTAGTACATTTTAGGGGGTAAGTCCCATCTGGGATTCAAACTCACACACACAGAGTGAGGCACTTAATTGCCAGCACACAAAGTCAGCTATCTAACCACCTCATCCACCCATTCAGCCACCCACCCACCCACCCACCCACCCACCCACCCACTCACTCACTCACTCACTCACTCACTCACTCACTCACTCACTCACTCACTCACTCACTCACTCACTCACTCACTCACTCACTCACTCACTCACTCAAGGAGTATATTAAACAAGTAAAGAAACACGAAAGACACAAAGACAATGTTGGACTTCTCAGCTAGTCTGCTACCCACGACACTAAATAATGCTGAAGACTAGTACAAATCCTATGATGGTTATCCTCACTGACTAGTGTTTGTTTTCTTCAGAAGCAAGAAGGAGCACAAGTCAAACAGACTGGGAATTGAGACAGGCACCAAGAGAGGTGAGTAGAACAGACATATTTTTCCCCCTTCATAATATCCCAGCTATATCGTGGTGGAGACCACCATCTTGTTTCTACTTCCACTGCTGGACTTGTGTGGTTATACAGACTCCATCCTGTCTGTAGGTTCGGGGGAAATGGAGGTGGCCATCTTGGCTCTACTATCCATCACTTATGTGTTTATATTCTCCAGACTCCTCCCTGTCTGTAGGTCTGGGGAAGATTGACAGAGGCAGCCATCTTGTATCTATCCATGAATCATGTGTTTAAATATTCTCCAGACTCCTCCCTGTCTGTAGGTCAGGGGAAGATTGACAGAGGCAGCCATCTTGTATCTATCCATGAATCATGTGTTTAAATATTCTCCAGACTCCTCCCTGTCTGTAGGTCTGGGGAAGATTGACAGAGGCAGCCATCTTGTATCTATCCATGAATCATGTGTATATATTCTCAAGACTCCATCCTGTCTGTAGGTCTGGGGAAGATTGATTGAAACAGCCATCTTGTATCTATCCATGAATCATGTGTATATATTCTCAAGACTCCATCCTGTCTGTAGGTCTGGGGAAGATTGATTGAGACAGACATCTTGTATCTATCCATGAGTCATGTGTTTTTATTCTCCAGACTCCATCCAGTCTGTAGGTCTGGGGAAGATTGACGGAGGCAGCCATCTTGTATCTATCCATGACACATGTGTTTATATTCTCCAGACTTCATCCTGTCTGTAGGTCTGGGGAAGAGTGACAGAGGCAGCCATCTTGTATCTATCCATGAATCATGTGTTTATATTCTCCAGACTCCATCCTGTCTGTAGGTTCAGGGGAAATGGAGGTGGCCATCTTGTCCCTACTATCCACAACACATGTGTTTATATTCTCCAGACTCCATCCAGTCTGTAGGTCTGGGGAAGATTGACGGAGGCAGCCATCTTGTATCTATCCATGAATCATGTGTTTATATTCTCCAGACTCCATCCAGTCTGTAGGTCTGGGGAAGATTGACGGAGGCAGCCATCTTGTATCTATCCATGACACATGTGTTTATATTCTCCAGACTTCATCCTGTCTGTAGGTCTGGGGAAGAGTGACAGAGGCAGCCATCTTGTATCTATCCATGAATCATGTGTTTATATTCTCCAGACTCCATCCAGTCTGTAGGTCTGGGGAAGATTGATGGCGGCAGCCATCTTGTATCTATCCATGAATCATGTGTTTATATTCTCCAGACTCCATCCTGTCTGTAGGTTCAGGGGAAATGGAGGTGGCCATCTTGTCCCTACTATCCACAACACATGTGTTTATATTCTCCAGACTCCATCCAGTCTGTAGGTCTGGGGAAGATTGACGGAGGCAGCCATCTTGTATCTATCCATGAATCATGTGTTTATATTCTCCAGACTCCATCCTGTCTGTAGGTCAGGGGAAGATTGACAGAGGCAGCCATCTTGTATCTATCCATGACACATGTGTTTATATTCTCCAGACTTCATCCTGTCTGTAGGTCTGGGGAAGAGTGACAGAGGCAGCCATCTTGTATCTATCCATGAATCATGTGTTTATATTCTCCAGACTCCATCCTGTCTGTAGGTTCAGGGGAAATGGAGGTGGCCATCTTGTCCCTACTATCCACAACACATGTGTTTATATTCTCCAGACTCCATCCAGTCTGTAGGTCTGGGGAAGATTGACGGAGGCAGCCATCTTGTATCTATCCATGAATCATGTGTTTATATTCTCCAGACTCCATCCAGTCTGTAGGTCTGGGGAAGATTGACGGAGGCAGCCATCTTGTATCTATCCATGACACATGTGTTTATATTCTCCAGACTTCATCCTGTCTGTAGGTCTGGGGAAGAGTGACAGAGGCAGCCATCTTGTATCTATCCATGAATCATGTGTTTATATTCTCCAGACTCCATCCAGTCTGTAGGTCTGGGGAAGATTGATGGCGGCAGCCATCTTGTATCTATCCATGAATCATGTGTTTATATTCTCCAGACTCCATCCTGTCTGTAGGTTCAGGGGAAATGGAGGTGGCCATCTTGTCCCTACTATCCACAACACATGTGTTTATATTCTCCAGACTCCATCCAGTCTGTAGGTCTGGGGAAGATTGACGGAGGCAGCCATCTTGTATCTATCCATGAATCATGTGTTTATATTCTCCAGACTCCATCCTGTCTGTAGGTCAGGGGAAGATTGACAGAGGCAGCCATCTTGTATCTATCCATGACACATGTGTTTATATTCTCCAGACTCAATCCTGTCCGCGGGACTGGGGGAGGGTGACATGGAGGAGACGATGACCGATCCGTTCATCCCCCAGGAACGTGTATTCAGCAAGTACGCTGCTATGATCTACACGTCCAACAACACTGGGAAGACGTTTGAAGAGTTCAAAGATGCCAAATATTGCCCTAGCTGTGGAGAAAAGGTAATTTATCAAGACCTGTTTCAGAAGATTATGTAATTTATGATGATTGTCTCATAAGTTGGTGTATATTGCCCCACCTGTTTTGAGAATCGGGTCAGGAAAGGTCACCAGTATCTTCTCATGTCTTTAGAGCTGACTAGAAGGGTATTGGGTGGGTCTGTGACTTGACTGATAGTGTGTTACTGTGCCCTGATGGCTTGGATCATTGCTCATGCTGTCAATCATTGGATGTCTGGCCCTGACTTGATTATTAACAATGAATGAAATGTCTGAAATTCCTCCAAATTTTCAACCAGACGACAACTCCTGAAACTTGTCAGTCCTGTCAAAAAGGTCTTCATTGAACATGGAGCAAAGTGATATTAAATAGAATAAAAATAACAACAGTATTTATTAATCCTGTCACATGTATTTTTTCAGTATATATATTTTATTCTCATAACAAATTAACACGTACTTATGCAGCAATAGAAACTAACAGTTTTAGTACTCAGAATGAAACATATAGCAAAACCCTTAAAAATGGCAAATTTCTACTTGTCCTTATGATATCTTAACTATTGGGCAGTTTGGCAAAGAAAATAGGACTAGTGCCAATTTCTAAAGCTGCTTATGCCTAAAACTTTCCTGTCCCAGGTGGTCAGGCAGGCAGGCAGGAATTTTGAACACGATTAACAGGTTTGCTGAAAAGAATAATGCCGTCTGCAGTATTAACAACATTCACTCACTCATGCCTTTAGAACTGTTGGCATACGATTGTTTCAAATGATCGAGGCATCCATAGGTCCATGAGGAAGTCTTCATCTTCTCTCACTACGAGGGGTATGTTGCAGACTGTCGTGTGCCCACACCGACTCGGGGGATCGGAGAAAGTCTTCATCTTGCCACACAACTGCACACACATCAAGATTACCCGGCCCAAAGTCCGCATCAACAGAGATCTTGTGGAGTAAGTGTTCAGTTTGAAGGAATTAAATATGTTTAAGTACAACCACTGAAGCAATTTTGAAGACACTGAAAAAATTTATAGTCTTGGTTCTCAGGCATCATACGGTCCACCCCACATTTCGTTTTTATTTCCATTTGCCAAAAACTAAAAAATCCTTATACTAAGAAACAATGCTATCCACTGTAGCATACAATTACTTCCCTTTACATGCACACTGCTTTTACTGTGCATCTTGTGTTATGGTCATGGCGGCAATGGAAATTTGTATTCTTGTTTATGTAGGGAGGCCCTTTCCCAGGTTGATGGTACTGTTTATTTCATTACAAACAAGTTCAAACACCACCACCCCAAAAAACAACAACCGCCTGCCCCCACACTATTTTCAAAAGTCATTGCCTGTGAACCAATTCTTTTATTTTTTGAAGCCTAAGAGTAACACTTTATGTTTATGCTATTTGTACTTCTGTTTATGTTTAAGAAAATGTCATTTTCTTGTATTTCAAACAGCACTAGAGCAATAGAAGGAAACCATCCGAATGTATCAGGTTAAAACTTAGCTTCAAATGTGGTGTTTTTAGTTGTGTATTAAGGTTTGCATAGAAAGAATACAATAGGGACAAAATGGTTTGTTAATTAATTGTTTGTTTATGTCTAAAAGCAAAGGTTCAAATCTCTTTTTGCTTTGATTACGTTTCTTGGTTTGTCAGCACAATAACCATGCTCGCTGGTGTACATCTGAGGCCTGGACACTTCCACAAACAATCTTAGCCCTACGATTGTCGTAAGTTTATGTTAGCGTATAGGAGTTACGATCGTCTTAGCGCTAAGATCCCTTTGTGGAACGGGCTCCTGCATCACTGCAGGCTTTCTTCCTACATCAGTGGAACTACTGTTAAAAAACGGTGTTCAACATGCCCACTGAGAAAAGCATGGTAATGTAATAATGTTATTATCCTTCACTCCCACTCCTCCTACAGGGGCATCATGAAGCCACCGACGCCCGACACCGCCTTCGACATGATCCCCAGCTCCGTGTCCCAGCACCAGGACGCCATGACCACGCCCACTGGTCCCCTCACCCCCGGGATGTCTCGAGGGGGGACAAGCATGGCCGGAGGGGAGGCAACCATGGTAAGGAAATAATGTCAACCATGACATATGTTAAACGTTTGGATGGAAGGCAACAATAAATGTTTCGTATTTCAACCCATCCCATACTAGATTAGGTTTAACGTGTTTGTTTTTTCTAAAATAAAATTTGTAAAATGTCTTTGATGTCTATAGTGAAGTGCAACAAATTTACATTAGTGACGTTAATTCGGAAAATATCGAATGGAGATCAAAGCTATGGTGCATCTCGAGAACAAAGGTATATGGTTTGGGGGGTCTAGTGTTGAATGGAAAATACCTTGATCTAAACCGATGGCAATGACTATGACTATGAAGTTGACATAACTGAAGTACTGTTTGCAGGGGAGTCCATCTATCCATCTATAATCTTTCTATCCATCCATCTATCTATCCATCTCTCATCTATCCATCTCTCATCTATCTATCTATCTATCTATCTATCTATCTATCATCCATCCATCCATCCATCTAATGATGCAGTGTCCATCCCCAGGTGAACACAATGCAGGCGGTGTGGGATGACTTCCGTCAGAGGACCAATGTAGAAAGGACAGTCTCCAGGCCCCTGGAACTGGTAAGGGGTACTCTACACGGATTATATGTATTACACTTGAACGTCCACTTAAATAATGTCACAGAGTGTTCAGACATCTTAAGGTGCAGCTGGGGCCTCTGTTTGGTATGTCGAGCCAGACTCGAATTTATTAAGTATATGAATCTAGCAGTTTGATTACTCTATTAACAGAGGTTCCACAAATTGGAAACGAATGTTGTAAGTCGATTTTAAAGAATGGGAGTTACAGCAACCTTAACGTTACAATTGCTTTGTGGAACAGGCCCCAGGGCCCACTTGCACAAAACAATCTTAGCACTAAGATGATCGTAAGTCCCATACTTTAACATAGACATACGATCATCGTAGTGCTAAGATCACTTTGTGCAAGTGGACCCAGGACTGGATATTGACACTACATCGTGGAGCTCAGTCCGCCCTGTATTGATACACAACAATATTTACATCTTAACCTTTGAAATGGAAACTGGGATACTTCATTCTGTAAATACTACTCAAAACAAGTTGAGGAACACCCACTATTAATAATCAGGAGGATCTGTCATGGATTAATATTGACTAATGGCATGACAGATTGACTAAAGCTATATGAAAGAACCGGGTGATCCTTAACTTCTTTTGAGTAGTATATGTATTGTATGATGTTGAAGTGTGTGATCAGAGCACAATTGGAAATTTAGAGATGCTTCAAGATATTTATTTTAACTGAGAAATTGTTACTGAATTGTCTCCCCTTACAGCCCCGCACGGTGTCGATGATGGAGCAGTTCCTGGCGTTCATTGTGTGGCAGGACGACTACGGGGAGGAGGAGGATGGCTGCCACTCCGTGATGGTCAGTAGATTCTCAGTAGACAATCTGTTGACATTTGTAGACTTAGTAGATGCTCTGGAGACTCAATAAAAACTTGGTAGAAACCCATGAAGATCCAGGTTAGAATAGGTCTTTAGCAACCCATTATTGTCGTAAGAGGCAACTATACTTGTTGTAAGATCGGGTGGTCAAGCTTGCTGAGTTGATTGATGCATGTCATCGTATCCCAACTGCATGGACTGATGCTCATGATGTCAATCACTGGATTGTCTGGTCCAGACTAGATTATTTACAGACCGCCGTCATATAGCTGGAATATTGCTGAGTGCGGCGTTAAACAAAAAAAACAACTTGGTAGAAGCTTGGTAGACAGTAGATTATCAATAGACACTCAATAGACACTCAGTAGACTCTCAGTAGACGCTGTATACTCTTGGTAGACACTCTGGAGATGCTAGGTAGATACTCTGTAGACACTAGGTATACACTGATTGAAACTCAATATACATTCTGTAGACGCTATGGAGACTCTCGGCAAAGCTTGGTAGATGCTGTGGAGACACTCTGTATATGTTCTGGAGAACATTGGTATACATACGCTCAGTATATATTTGGTAGAGGCTCTGGGCCCTGTTCTACAAAGCAATCTTAGCGCTAAGACAATAGTAACTGTCATACTTTAAGATAGACTTACGGCTGTCGTATCACTAAGGTGGTCGTAACTCCCATACTTCAACATAGACTTACGAATGTCATATCACTCAGGTGATTGTAACTCCCATACTTTAACATAGACTTACGATTGTCATATCACTAAGGTGATTGTAACTCCCATATTTTAACATAGACTTACGAATGTTGTATCACTAAGGTGATTGTAACTCCCATACTTTAACACAGTCTTACGAATGTTGTATCGATAAGGTGGTCGTAACTCCCATACTTTCACATAGACTTACGAATGTCGTATCGCTAAGGTGGTCGTAACTTCCATACTTTAACATAGACTTACGAATGTCGTATCTCTAAGGTGGTCGTAACTCCCATACTTTAACATAGACTTACGAATGTCTAATCTCTAAGGTGGTCGTAACTCCCATACTTTAACATAGACTTACGATTGTCATATCACTAAGGTGATTGTAACTCCCATATTTTAACATAGACTTACGAATGTTGTATCACTAAGGTGATTGTAACTCCCATACTTTAACACAGTCTTACGAATGTTGTATCGATAAGGTGGTCGTAACTCCCATACTTTAACATAGACTTACGAATGTCGTATCGCTAAGGTGGTCGTAACTTCCATACTTTAACATAGACTTACGAATGTCGTATCTCTAAGGTGGTCGTAACTCCCATACTTTCACATAGACTTACGAATGTCGTATTGCTAAGGTGGTCGTAACTTCCATACTTTAACATAGACTTACGAATGTCGTATCTCTAAGGTGGTCGTAACTTCCATACTTTAACATAGACTTACGAATGTCGTATCGCTAAGGTGGTCGTAACTTCCATACTTTAACATAGACTTCACGAATGTCGTTTCGCTAAGGTGGTCTCAACTTCCATACTTTAACATAAACTTACGAATGTCGTATCGCTGAGGTGGTCGTAACTCCCATACTTTAACATAGACTTCACGAATGTCGTTTCGCTAAGGTGGTCTCAACTCCCATACTTTAACATAGACTTACTACAGTTGTAGCACGTATGCTGGGTAGACACTGTAGACTCTCATTCAGTACCCTGGAGACACTCGCCAGCTGCTCAGTATACACTTTGTAGGTCAAACATATTTGCCTGTCATAATCATGATAATGTATTAGAAAAATTAAGTTGAGACCACCCCTTTCCTGGTCTGTTTTTGTAAGTAGTATTTGTGTTGCCAGGACAACCTGTACCGTTTCCTGACAGAGCGCTACCTGGTGGAGGAAGTGGTGTACATGGCCGCCCATGACTTCCTGTCCGCCATTACGGAGTATTCGGCTACCAACAAGGTGAGTGGCACTCCGTCTCTGTATCAACATGACCTGACATCTTTGTTTGGGGGGTAGCGTAGTGCAAGAGGATGAAATGCTTTCAGAAACATTACCAGAGCAGTAGTGTACAAACGATGTGTCATGTTTTTGAGAGGATGTTACAACAAATATATAAATACATAACTGTAACGTGCACGTACCTAGCCATCCCAGCAACTGCCAGTTCCTCAGGTTCCAATTCAGTGGTGTCTACCACCAATGGGCATTCCTCCCATTTCAGCAGCCCCGTGGCTACAGTGATCCCTCGCTACAACGCTACCTTCGGGGTCTAAATAATTGATGAGCCCATATGTTATCACACTCATGAATGCAATTGTTGTTACTGTAATCCTCCACCTACTACTATATATTCTGTACTATGTCCCTTATTCAGTCCTGCTTGACAACAGTATAAGGATCTATACCGAAACATCGCTTTTTACAGTATTAAAGAAGTTATTATCCATAAAATTGTGACTACCTTGTCATCCGTCAACTTCTAAGTAATGCCTATCAAACAATTTAATGCAGGATAAGTTAAAAAGTTTGTTTGCATATCCTGCATTACTACATTTAAGGGCCCACCCATCGCAGAGCTACCTCTGCACAATGTCTTCAAATGTTACAATCAAGCAGCAATGTGCAGATACATGACATCATCATTTCCATGGTCAAAGTGGGCGGTCTGTGATGGGTCTGCCCTACAACAGGTTGGAACAACGTCTTTTTCAGCTGGACCTCACACAGCTTTGTTTTTCTGTCAAAAGAAAGCAGTAAATACATTAAGGAGTAATGCAGGATACAAATGTAAAAAATATTTAGCTTTTACTAAAATCAATTTTATTTTATATTTCCAGCTTCTTCAGCTGCTTGGCACCGTCCTGAGCGGCAACTTGGATGCATCATGTCTGAGGTACGTGCTGCTCATGTGCGACTTCGTCAACACCGTGGACTGGAGGGAAGTGGAGGACTTCAGGGCGTTCGCCTCCGCCGTCTACCCCTTCCTCGGGGTACGTTTATACAGCGTGGTAGAACTCTGTGTACTAGGAGTGAGTGCGTGAGTTGGGTTTAACACCGCTTAATGTGGGAGGAAAGCCCCAAGTGATGCAGGTCTCAGACGTTTACCACTTCGGTGAAACCCACGAGCACGGGTATTGTGCTGACAAACCTAGAAACATAATCGAAACCGGAATTCGAACATAGGTCATAGGTTTCTGATGATCATAGGTTTCTGGCGTGCCCAAGGGACGCAACTCTGCACAGTGATCGTGGCGCCTTAGACGACTGGGCCACCCATGCCCCCTGTGTACTAGGAAGTTTGAGAATGACACAAGCATATTGTATAACATCCCTGTTTGTCCAGAGTAGTATATCCATTGTATTATGTTAAATTTGCTGGACCAGTTAACTGCCATAGTTTTGTTTCGGGCCTGACACAATACTAATAATAGATGTCCAATCAGATTACTCTGGGATAGCCTTGTGGTTAAAGATATACATTCGTCCACCACTCGCCCCTTCCCGGGACCTGCAAGAAGACTCGTCCCCCTATCGATGAATGCAAAAATACAACAAACCAATCAGAACGCACGTATAATTTCAAATTATTCGTCAAAGAATCCCTCAGAAATAATTTTTGATTTTACATATGTCTTGCATCTAAAAATATACCCAGGACACAGTTAAATGTGTTCAATCATACTGTATAATTCCGCATGTCCTGATGTGCATCTGAAATATATGTAATATATGGGGGAATATATGTGAACCATTATGCAATGAGTTGACAATTGTTTTTGGTATGCCCATTTGCGCTAAGACGGAACCCGGTCACAAAAATGGCCATGAGAGGGGCACGAGTCGCTATTCAGCTTGTTTTTGTCCCGTAATAACACGAGTTGGTCACGAATGTAAAGATAAAGTGACAAATCGAGTAGTGTAGTCTAGGCTGTTTATTTTATAAATTTGTATAAATGCATGTAAACCATGCAAAAATTCTTATAAGCCATCCATAAAACTATGAGTTAGCTATGATAACCATTCCATCATGATCATTCAAGATTAAATTTTGTCGGTGATCTGAATCCCTTCACATATGACCTTGACATACTTTACAGGAGGATGACCTCGAGACGCTGCAGATGAGTTACCAGTCCTTCAGTGAGAACAGAATCTCAGCTCACATCGTCTCAAACTTCCTCGTCCACATCATCCTCAAGTACCGTGAACCCCGCTTCCTGGAGGTAGGCTTGCCTGAAGGGCCGGGGATGTACTTGCTCATAGTTCCATACTACTCAACGTTTGTTAAGGATATTTTGCTATTACCAAACCCAGAGAACAACTCACATACTTTTGCCATGTTAACTTGAAACAAAGCTGAAAATGCATAATCTCTATCTATATCTCATCTTCCCAAGGCAGTTAACTCACTTTTAAAGTCCAGTTTCCACCCTTGCCGAACTAGACTGGAATTCCTTGGCTCAATCGTAGCGCCACCAGTGGTTACACGAGTTATGTCCCTTCTAAGCCTCTCCTATGGACCAATCAGATTCCACCTCTTGTATCACTTGCAGTTGTTTCAAACAAAATGGTGGCACCCAGTCCTTACCATCTGATCGATAATCAAGACCTGTATTGTGATATAACAGATCTTACATCGTGAAGTGCATCAAATCACACGAGCACCTTGATTAAAAACATGAAAAGATCTGTCGGCAACGAGTTCGCGTTGCACATGCTTTGCAAATCCTGCAATCGACTGAAATCTGCACGACAGTTTACGAACTAGATTTCAATTTTGTTGCACGATTTTGATTGGACTATGCATAGACTCATTAGTCCAGCCAAAATGTAACTCCATAATACCAGCCTAGTTGGGCAAGGGTGGAAACTGGACTTTATAGTCAGTTAACTCTCTTGCCTCGGGAAGATGTTTATATTTATGACAGTATCAATATGGTTTGTTCAATTTAGCATCTTGAAAAAGCGTTTTAGAAGTGATTAGTTGAAATCAGGCCTATTTCGAAAAAAGTCATCTGTATGACTTTTATTTGTAAATATTATTTCAAGAATTAACCTCATATCAAGTTGACAATTTAATAACTAAAATATCTGTTACAACCTGCATAGAGCCATGTTGACAAGAAAATCGGTAATGAAAGATGAAACACTGGTCTGACTACTGTATGTCTAAATATTGACTCCTGGCTGTTGCAGTTGGAGAATCGGCTCTTGCCGTTCCAATCACTGGAGGGGGGTCAGCTGACAGGGAGAGAGTTCAAGGACGCTCTGGAGAACATCCTGCCTCTAGTGAACGACCGCCTGCGTAAACGTCTCTTCCTGGAGGCAGAGCCTAGTGTCCTTGTGGAGGAGGACATGTCAGCTGTCTCCATCATGAGGCTGGCTCGTATCCTTCGCACTACTGTCACAATATGGAGCTAATTGCTACTTCACTTGTCATTCCACAGAGCTAATGTTCACTTGTCACAACAATATGTTCACAGGTGCTATAGTGAGTGATTATGGTTTTACGCCGCTTTTAGCAATATTCCAGCAATATCACGGCGGGGAACACCAGAAATGGGCTTCACGCATTGTACCCATGTCGGGAATCGAACCCGGGTCTTCAGCGTGACGAGCGAACGCTTTAACCACTAGGCTACCTGACCGCCCCCACAGGTGCTATAACATTGTCACAGCAATTTTACACTCCAACTCGTTGGTTACTGTATTTAATCAAATATGCTGTAGATCTAAATATCAGTGTCTCCCAGGTGACTCTCTGTTCTTAGTTGCAGTGGCCTTATCACTGTGCTGAGTTGCCTCCCTTGGCTGCAGAAACACCAAGCTCCTTCCCAGCACGTGACACCTTTGTTACACTCTTGGTAACATCGCTGCCACCAGTGTGGGTGGCCATTACAAGAATCTTGAAATTTGCCCGCTAACCCCAAATGTAGTCATGTTTACACTTTTGTTTATCTGTGTGGGAATGCCATCATAGTTCATTTTGAAAAGGTTTACGACTGACCTTATTTTCCAGATGAATTAGCTTTGTTGTTTGGTTAATCAGATTGGTTCGAGATTGCAGACTAACGGAAATCAACCAACTTCTCCCTTACATTTATACTTTATCAGTTACTTGATAGTTTTAATGAAATAGAAATTCAAATTGACAAAGAAAGTAATTAGCTGGGGTAAGTGTATTCAGCGTTATGACAGTTGTCACTTGTTTGTAAACCTAACGGTCAATCGGTGGCGTGTTCAACTCCAAGCATGGTTGTGATCATCTATCATTGTGAAGAGTTTTGACTGGTGGCAGCGATAGTATAGAGAGCTCCGCAAATGGGATATCGCTGTGAGGAGCTTGCAGTAACACAATTACTGTGCAGAGTTGCCTCCCTTACCTGCAGTAACTCACCGTGCCATGTTGCCTCCTTTTAACTGCAGTAACTCATTTACTGTGTAGAGTTGCCTCCCTTAACCGCAGTAACTCATTTACTGTGTAGAGTTGCATTCCTTGGCTGCAGTTACTCAATCGCCGTGCTGAGTTGTCTCTTTTAGATGCAGTAACTCAATAACTGTACAGAGTTGCAACCCTTAGCTGCTGTAGCTTACTGTGCAGAGTTGCCTCCCTTAACTCAATCACTGTGCATAGTTGCTGCCCTTAGCTGCAGTAAGTCAATTACAGTTCAGAGTTGCTGCCCTTGACTGCAGTAAGTCAATTACAGTTCAGAGTTGCTTCTCATAGCTGCAGTAACTCAATGCACTGAGCCTCATCACCTATTCTAAAACAGAATCTTTGGTTATACAAGTTTACTTTACTGTACCTGCATATGTGTTCACACTGTATTCATGCACAACAATATGAGAGATTCCTTGACAAGTGCAAGAAATCTCCAGCTACCTTGCTGTCTGTCAGATAACTCCAATCATCCGGGAAAACGTTGTGAGCTGCGTCGCCAACTGGCGGGAGAGGCCATCAAGTGCAGGATCCAGTGAGTGTCACAATTATATAACTTTTCACACACGCTTTCTAGCCACACTGACAGCTGATTGGTAAGTTGAAACTCCTTCATTGTTCTCCCAGCAGTAAGTGGGTACCTGGAAGGACGAGAGGGTATTATTTTGATGACCTTCAAGCACCTCACGGGCAGGTTTGGTTGTATACTCCCCATGGAGCTGAGAAAGAAAATCGAGTGTGAACTAATCCATTGACCTGGGTAATAACAATGTAGTGCCATGAGCATTCAGCTCTTGGTGAGTGGAATTTGGTGCATTTTAATAGGACTTATTTTAATTATTGTTGGGAAAAATTCAACTGATTCATCCATTGATAAGATCAGATTGATAATGCTAAACAAAAAGGGAAACTATTTCTTGGCCATTATCAGTTCACTGCATTATTAAAGGAAGGGCCTTGGTCCGAGTGTACCCAGTAGTGTGTTGGTGCCCTGGGCTCACTTGCACAAAGCGATCTTAGCTCTACGATTATTGTAAGCCTATGTTAAAGTATGGGTGTTACGATCATCTTAGCGCTACGATTATTGTAAGCCTATGTTAAAATATGGGAGTTACGATCATCTTAGCTCTACGACTATTGTAAGCCTATGTTAAAGTATGGGAGTTACAATCATCTTAGCGCTAAGATAGCTTTGGGCAAGTTGGCCCTGATTGGGGAATAAATACACAGTTTTCATCACTTGTGAGGAAAAACGTGTCCGGGAAAATGTTGTTTTATGTATCCTAAAATTAATGTAATCTGAACAATAGGTTGACTATAGTGAAGCTAATTTGGATGGTTGACTTCTCATGGTCTTAAAAAGATCTCTTGCCTAGATGTTGAATAAATGCTTGAAACTTCAAATCAAGGAGTCCTGTTTCCTTCTCCAACAATCAGTGTATGTCAGTGGAGCCGTTTATTAGTAATTGCCAGTAATTTACTGGAAAACAGGGTTAAATATTACAGTCCAAATAGTGCTACCAGGTAACCGGTAAATTCCTAACTGAACGGAAACACTGTATACATGCAACTGTTATACCTCCCCTACACATTGGATAAATGCCTGACCATGTTTGAACCTTCCAGTCAAGCAGTCTTCCTCCGACACTCCCAACTCCATGTCCGACCACCAGGTTCTGAGTATGGCCGCCGTCAAGAATCTCGCATCCAACGTATCCCGACGCACAAAACATCGGCATCAACGTCTCATGACAGAAGATTATTCAGGGGATTTTGGAGTAGACTGGTGACCTAGAATACATTCCTAGAAACTCAACCTACATTTTCACCTGTTTGAACTGCTGACAGGAATATGCGATATTTCATACTATATACTTAAGTAATCAGGTTGTTGAAGCACAAGGTAGCAATATCCCTGTCAAAAGTTGCATGGTATATATTAATGATGGCGTGAGGACAGGTTTCCGAGGACAGGTCAGTGTGATTGTTTGCAAGAGTTGACTATGCTGAATGCTGTGAGGGCACAAAATGTTGACCAGCATTAGAAATTGGCACTAGTCCTGTAGTCCTTGCCAAACTGCCCAATAGTTAAGGTATCATAAGGACTAGTAGAAATTTGCCATTTTTAATGGTTATGCTGTATGTTATTATAAGGACAGGTGGGCTAAAACTGTTAGTTTCTAATTAAACTATTTCTTATAAGGTTTTAATGTAATCAAGGATTGAACTAACAAATATTCTGTGATGCATATAGCTGTGAAAACTGTTCAACCAAAGGATGACGAATAGCTTTCCATTTGTTCGAATGTGCTCAGCATGTTAACTGACATGGATTGTCTCCCTTTCACCACTAGTACCAAACATACTTTTAAGCAAACTGTGATATGTTGCTATATTTGTAAATAAATCTTGTTTCATTTCCAATCGTTATTTCATCTGTAGGGGTGGATCATGTTGTCTCATCTATTGTGCTCTGAAACTGATGAGATGGTGTAGCATGATGGTAATTACAACAGATAGACCATCTGCCAACTTGTATGAGTGAGTGAGTGAGTATGGTTTTATGCCGCTTTTAGCAATATACCACCAATATCACGGCGGGGGACACCAGAAATGGGCTTCACACATTGTACCCATGTCGGGAATAGAACCCGGGTCTTCGGCGTGACGAGCTACACTTTAACCACTAGGCTACCCGACAGCCCCCAACTTGAAAGAAATCACATAGCCAACATATTACACAATGAGTGAATCGTGAGTTCGTCTCACCTTCACTGAATTCTTTTTGGTTTGTTTTCAACGCCACATTTAGATACGTGATGGCAGTCTGTAAAAAATCAAGTTTTAACCAGACAATCCAGTGATTCACATGAACATCGATCTACACAATTGGGATACGATGACAATCGACCAAGTCAGCGAGCCTGACCACCCAATCCCAATGGTCACCTCTTACGACAGGCAGTCGCCTTTTATGGCAAGCATGGGTTGCTGAAGACCTTCTAATTTTGAGTTTGAGGCTGTTGAATGCAGATGGTTCAAACTAAGTGATGTTTGTGTATATAAATGCTCTAATCAGCATCTTGTAGAAAGCTGCACACTTTACACCTTGAGAACAGTCTATGGTCAATATCATCAGCTACAGATGTGGTGTTCATATGCCACAGTAATACCAAATCATTATTCAATGTTGAATTTTGATGATGTGCAAGTTAAAAGAGCAATAAATCAATCACTACACTTGTCCCAGGTAGCTACTGTTTTTATTACAACTGTATATTTTAATTTAAATGAATGAGGAGATTAAATTAAGTAGTCTACTTCATTTCAATCAATCCGTCAAATTAACAGTCACTTTTCAGGCAATATGACATGCATCAACCATGTCAGCGAGCCTGACCACCCGATCCTGTCAGTCACCCTTTACGACAAGCATAGTCACCTTTTTTTGGCAAGCATGGGTTGCTGAAGATCTATTCTACCCCGGATCCAGTCAATATGTAGTATATGTACATTGGCCAAGTGAATCAGTCAAAATACATATCACCTGAATCATTGAACCAGTACTATTTAAATATATCCTGTGATTGAGTTATTGATTTAACGCTGCACTCAGCAATGAATGGGTACCAAGCAGTACGAGATAATGTGGTACACCTCTAGCGCCTAAAAGGCAGCTTGGGTTGTATACTCACCAGGGAGATGAGAACGATTGTTGAGTGCACACTGATCCAGTGACCAGGGTAATAATAGCGCTTTGAGCATGCCCCGAGTGGTGTGGAAATATGCACAGTATAAGTGGACTGTATTATATTATGACGGTGGTTTGTAAATAATCAAGTCTGGACCAGACAATAAAGTGACTGACATCATATGCATCTATCTATTTAACTGGGATATGATGATTATGCATCAACCAAGTGATATTCATGACCACCTGATTCTGTTAGTTTCCTCTTACGACAAGCATGGGTAGCTGCGGAACAATTATAACCCAAGTTACGATGTGACCAAGTTGTATGATTGCGTGTACTTGTACCTCATACACGTGGATCGTTAATTGTTCATGCAAACGACTACAGATTTGTCTGATTCACTCACTCAGTCAATTCTGACCTGTATTTTCACGGGTTGAATATACCCAGCGACAAATCCAGATGACAACTAAACAAATGTTCTCCCTTCAGTGTTTCTGGCATAAAAAACAGAACATCTTCTGCAGTAACAAATGATTTAATCCAATTTGTTGAGACCTTTACGGTATATCAGCCCTCATGACGATGGAGCAACAATACATGTATTGACATACTAAATGTGGACACAATGCACCAATTCTAATGTACTTAATGGGTGAAAACATGTTTATACAATCAGACGGACGAGTGTAACAAGGGGAAACTCAGTAAGCCAACATCACTCGTACAACACATATCCAAATGTTGGTGTAAATTAGTAAAAAAAAACGGGAAATAATAACATCAACAAAGTTGATGGATAACAAAACGATCAATCTGGGTCAGCCTGGTGAAAACATTTTCAGTGTCAAATTCAAAACTTTCAGAAATGTCAATAATGCAGACGTGACTGTACTGGATATGACATGGTTTCCATGGAAATGGATGAGCGCTAGATTAATGCCCTTGGCAATGTTAGTCCGTAGAGACCCAGAACATCCGGAATGACCTTCACCAATGTTGATCAATGTCAGGTGACAAGTTCAAGGAACAATTTCTTTCACACGTCCACCATCTCCCTCGGACACAAATCGTTTGCGGCCTCTGCAAAGAAAAAAGTATCATAAAGTGACTGATCCTTTTATTTCACTTAATGGAGATGTCAAGGTGATACTAGTTAATATACCATTAAAAAAAAGTCAAAGAACACCCACAATTAGATGGCTGTGTGTTGCAATATCTATCAGTAATGACAGATTAACAATAGTCATATGAAAAACTTGGGTGTTCTTTACCTTCTTTGAGTATTATTAGTATTATCATTGATATGGTTTGTCAGAACTATCCAAGCTAACATTTCCAATAAGTCCTCTTTAAATTTGAAGTTTTTTCTTTTGTTTTCATGTTCAAAACTGAAGTCAGCATATTCCAGCTGTATTGTGACTTGTTTGTAAATAATCAATCTGGAGCCAAACAGCTTATAGCAACGTGTATGCACGCGTGTCCGTTTGTATGGCCGCCATGGTCAGCTGTCTTCATGCTGGGAGCTATGTCTCCACAATGCAGGAGAGAAAAATGAAATTGTCATTCAACATATTTCTTTGTTTATATCCATGAATGCTGTGAGGTACAGTGTGTGTGCAGTGTGTGTGTCATTCTAGACTAATGCCGCTTCTTATAGAGCCGGCCCAGAGATACAATGCCGCAGTTGAACATGGATACCCTACTCAGCCACAGTACACTGACTCCAATCCGACCCGTCCTTGTTTAAGCCCCTTAATGCAGAGCATCAGGTAGGGAATCAACAAGTACCATCTTTCAATAATAATTGGTATGATGTGACTGTGGATCGAACCAACAACCTTACTCTCTCCGGGCAGATGGAGTATACAGGGCGAGATCGCAGGTGGACCTACCTCTGTGGAAGTTCCTTGAGCAGCATCGAAGACAGCATGCCCTCCTGGTGGCAATTGTTGGCAAGTTTCTCCAGGAGGACGTACGCATTGGGGACGTCAAGGCAGATATCTGGCATTGCATCATATACTCGACGGAAGCCCTGGAAACACACATATTCATGGATATCACACAAACAGAATTACATAACAGACAGACCCGTGAAGATCCGGGGTAGAATAGGTCTTCAGCAACCCACACAGGTCGTAAAAGGCAACTATGCTTGTCATAAAGGGCAACTAACGGTATCGGGTGGTCAGGCTCACTGACTTGGTTGATGCATGTCATCGTATCACAATTGCGTTGATCGATGCTCGTGATGTCAATCACTGAATTGTCTGGTCCAGACTCGATTATTTACAATCATGTAGCTGGAATATTGCTGAGTGCGACGTTAAACCAAAAACCAAAAACAACATAACGGACATCACTGAACACCTACAGCGCTAGTCACCATTAGTAGGACAATGCATCGGTGGATCGCATGTTTTTACTTCTCGATATAAGTATCGATCACAATTACACACTAAGTAAACAGTATAGATTCTTACTTTAAATGTAGTCTTTTATAAATGTTACACCAAACACTAATTACTAGTGAAAATGAGTAGTAAAAACCTACATATTTTCATCCATTCTGCCATACTTGACACTGCCAACTGTAAATCATTGTGTGCCAGGTATTTGACCATCCTGTCTGACAAAATTGGCTTTAACGCGAGTTAAGAGCACATGCAAGTATCGTGATATGTATTGTATCGTGAGCAAGGTATCATGATATGTATCAGATAGCACAGTTGATGTATCGTCCCAGCCCTACTAGACACAAAAATACAGCAGACATGGGGGGAAAAAAAGAAAGGTGTGGCTTTGATAAAAAAAAGATAGTTATCGGAGTATCAGGGATTGAAACATGATCTGTGCATCCCAGCACATCCACTTCCAGCTAGCAAGCCCGAAAGCTGATGAAGCTGACATTGAATGATTACCTGAATAAACTGGTTAGGGGTGACAATCATGGCCTCGGAGAAGGACTTCAGCAGTTCACACATCATTTCTCGCGTTCTGTCTGTGGAGTCCTCCAGAACTATTATTGTGGCCTGAAATACAAAGACATGTTCAAGTATAGCTCTGTATTCTGTATTCACTGGATTATCAGGGCAAGTTTTAACTTATTTTCACTCTTGATACTATTGAATTCGAGACAACCGGGAAATTGACAACAAAGACATGTCCAGTTTGACATCCTGATTAAAATAGTGATGAATCAAGTTCATGTTTTAGAGAAAAACATTTGGTGTTCATCTTTATGTTAATTACCGTATTCGACGTAATAAGCGCCCAGGGCGCACTCAAAATTAGTAATAGGGGGCTCTTATTAGAATATTACTTTGGTGAAAAAAAACAGAGTTAAAGATAAATTTGGTGGTTTATGCTGACAGCCTGAAATGTTTATATACGACAGATATATTTTTCCAGAATGTAATTGCCCATAATTAAGGGTGCATGTAGCACACGAGTGCGTATTATACGTGAAATAATAAGTCTTATGTACATTGATCAATCGGAAGGGGTGCTAAATGAGATTGTTCACTAGCCAATATATAAGCAAATGTCGCCGTGGGCGCTTATTAGAGCGGGGCGCTTATTACGTCGAATACGGTATATGAAGTTAGAGTTTTGTCAGGATAAAAACATCGGGATACACAATATATCTCGTCTCCCGTGCATCGTTTTATCCTCCTCTAAAGAAACATGGTAAGCATGAATAGTTACAGGTCCTTATCATGAATAGTTACAGGTCCTTATCATGAATAGTTACAGGTCCTTATCATGAATAGTTACAGGTCCTTATCATGAATAGTTACAGGTCCTTATCATGAATAGTTACAGGTCCTTATCAAACAGGTTCAAGTCAAGTTTCGCTTACCTCATACACAAGCTCGTGAT